AACAAAAAATACAGAAGTTTAGGTGTTGGAATCCAGAGGAGGGAAAAATGCATTAACTGAATAAAAAAACAAACCCAGAAGTTACTTTTCTTATTATTGGAGTACCATAATTGTAGTTGAGTCTCACTATGAACAATTGCTCCCTGATGGTTCTTGTTGAGTAATTTTGTTCAATATGGGTCTGTCAATACAATTTGCTTTCAGTCGTCAGTTTATACAGTATCAAGAATAATGGGCTCACTCAGGTGTACTTGGAAATTGTAATAAAATATTAATTTTAGGGAAAACAAAACTGATAATAATCTGATTTAGTATTCTACAGTTATGCCTGAGTTCTTTGAGAAGCTCTTTGTAATAAATGTGAATATTATGATGTCTGTTAAGACAAGCAGTCATAGACAACCAGGCAGTAAAACACTGAGAAGGGGATATCCCCTATATAAGGTAAACATGGAGGAGTCGTCCTGTCATTACTTAGTCCAAGACTCAGTGAACAAACTGTCCTTTATCACTTCTAAGTTTCTGGAAAGTAAATGCATCCTCATTTCTTGCATACAATATATTTTTTGAGGTTCACAGGTGTGCATTGCTTTATCAAGCAATTTGCTAATTTCTTTGCTTCCATTTTCCTAAAATCTAAAAGAGATGGATAATTAAGCCTTGCAAATTAAGTGGTAAGAAATAACTGATGGTCAAGCTTCATTAAAAAAGTCACATCAAGATACTTTCATAGAAGCTTCAGAAGAAGCTTCAGAGAGGTGCTCTGTGAGTAAAATAGGAGGCAATGACCGAGCTGCTGACTACATGGGGAGATCAGAGGGCTCACAAGCAAATCACAGCACTAACATTCATAGAAATATGTGTATGGAAAGAATGATTTTGATGTTTTTTTCCCTCTCTCCTGCTAATGCAGTTTGAATGCTGAAAAGTATGGAGGGAGTCTGGGAGGTTTGCTTGACAGGGATTTTTCCATAGTTTCTCATAGCCTGACACCCATCTCTAGTTGTTCTTGTCAACACAAAAACTCAGGAAAGTTTAGCTTGAAAGAAGCAGTAGGAAAGGTTTTTGCTTTTCCTGCCTTCCTTTCCAACTCAGAAAGCTTAATGATCTGTCTGACACTCTTCAAACACAGCAGCATACCATAAATTTTACTATCTGTAACTTCTACCAGGCAATATGGATTTGCATTTACGTAACAAACCCTTTGCATGTGACTGAAATCAAGAGCTGTCAATACACAGCAAGAGTAGTAGGCCAAGAATTTCCCCAAAATGCAGCGCACAACACTGCACTTAGTTTGGAAGTGCTGAAATTTGAATAAATAGATGCAGCACTGGCAATTTAGGTATTTGTTTTTTCACAACATGCATATATATGTGTATGTCTGTGTGTGTAGGTGTAATTATGAAGGAAGGGGTAAGCTTCCACAGCTCATACCTGTGGAAGCATGATAAAGAGTGTGAACTGCTAAGTGGTTTAAGAAATCTGTTTAATAGATGCAGGGATATCACCTGATAAAAAGTACTTATTGCTTTTGTGAATCCATCTGTCATTATAGACCTACATCGATTAAGTCATGTGAATTTGTACTGCTGACAGGTAGGTTAACTAGAAACTAAGTAATCTGCAACACAAACAATAGCTAAATCAAAAGGAAGCTATTGAAAATGGGCTTGTTTTTGCAAAAATAGATATTTGGAGGCCTGCAGAAAATTTTGCTTCTAGTGAAATGGCTGTATAGCAGTGACAGACTTTTGATCGAACTATCAAAAATAAGAACTATTGCATTAGCATAGTTATGTCTATGCTTACAAAAAAAAGGCCTACATTTGAGGCAATCAATTTATGCAGAAAGATGTTACACCCCATGCCAGCAGCATAAATTAATCTTTACGTTGGCTAAATGAGGATACCTTTTACATAAGTGAATCTCTGCACAGTGCAAAAATGGACAACAAACTACACAAACCTGAACATCAGCTGTCAGTGCAATGGTAAAAGAAATACATTGCCTCCAACTATTGAGTGAAAAGTAGAAAGGGAAAAAAGGAAATCAACAGCTCTGACAAACTGTTCTCCAGATACTTAGTTATATCAGATTATCCAGTTTAGTTGTGTGTTTCACTTAAAATATCTGTAGGGAATTTTGTAGAAAAAAAGATGTAGAACCATTTTGCCTTTAGTAAGGAATAAATTTTCTGACTATTTTGAAGTAAATCTGCCACTTAGCTTGATTTAAAGGTTTTGGTAAATAAAAAACATCTCACTATCTTTGTTCCCAATGACCCTAATAGTAGAATAATGCAGGCTTTTTTAAGCCTTCAATGTAGTTAAATTCACTGACAATTTATACATAAGCTAAATGTGAAGCAATTAGGTTATAATTCAACAGAGTTATTACACATTAAGTACTTCTGTTAGGCTTATGAAAGCTACCAATGAGTCCAATATGAGCCCAACATCTCAGATAATAGAGGTGGGGTCACTGCGCTACCCAAGGCAGCAATCGAGCACGCTGCCCTGCAGTACCAATACACACATAGCAATCCTCTCACTTTTAATGACAGACGGTAGGAAACAACATTATGACTGCAATGGACAGTTGATTTTGCCTGCCTATTGCTGTTCTAACAGCCAGAGGCTGCCATAATAACACAGATATCACTGCTTAACTACCTTCTTGGAGCACTGTTGCCTTGGGTGTCTTTGTTCCTTGGTGAAGCAATAGTCAGAAAAAAACCCAGGTATTTAGTGCAGTGGTTTTTTATACAAAGGAACAAAGGGTACATCCCTTCTCTCTTTGTACTAAGGTGATTAAGGACTCAAGGATAAACTTGTATTTTCCACTGAGTTATGCACAGTAAGAGATTCCTTTTTGAGTCTCTCACATCCCAGATCAGTAATCATTCAAGAGACTTTTATTTTATTTTTTTTTTTTCAAAAACTTAAGTAAATGTGTGAAGTTTTCCCTCACATGTACACCAAAGCTGGGTTTAGCAATTCAGAAAGTTATCATGAAGTGGAAATGGCATCCTCTGGTCATCTCTGTAATAGAGAGAGGCAATTCAGAATTAAGTTTGTGCTTAATGTAAACACAGGTATGTTAAAGTGAAAAAGGAAGAGTTAAATGGCAGCACTACAGATAAGATTGTTAGGGTACATTTGCTAACAGTAATTTCTGACTCATACTGCAGTGTTTCATGCCACCTGGAGTCCACATTCACTCATTCTCAAAGGAACACATCTAATCCATGGGATTTATTACAATTCTTCACTGGCTTTCAACTACCTGACAATCCTCACTTTCCAGAAGACGGGCAGTCTCTACCTTTCTGAGGGGTTGCTGCTTGGCTCACTTTTTTATTGTTGACATGAACAAACAATAACATTTATTTCCATTAGCTTGTTAGGGTATATGTTGCACATCATGTAGCGGCATTTTCATTTTTTCCCTGTTTTGAATATTTAATCAGACTGAATCAGAATCCTTAGTAAAAGACATTTAACAGCAAGAAATTATGAACCAGTTTTATTTTGTTTAAGACAAGATTTATGTAAAAAAAAGTGATACAAAGCTTTACAAGCACTCAGAAAACAACAGGCCTGAGGACCATATAATGTAAATTTGTAGGTAGGTACACAGGTGAGAAGCCAATTCATGAGTGCAGTTAGGCCATTTGTAAGCTAATAGAATCAGTGATATGTTATACATAACACTGTTCAAAACAGAGAATTATGGGGCCTGGACAACTGGTCAGTTGTTTGGTCACAGATACCAATCTCATTGTGATGCCGACTGCTGAAATAGCCTAAGGGCCATCAAACACTCTAAGATATCTCAAGGAGAAAACCAATATGGAATACATTTACAAACTGTTGACAAAAGACACCCAAACAGTCATAAGAAAACACATCAAAGTTGCTGAGAACCTCTTATTCAAATGAAGAAAATAAACAAAGAAATAATAGCACTTAAAAAAAGGTAGGAATCATCTTGTAGTAATGAGGCCCACCATTATTGCAATAGATAACATGGGGCATAGAGAAGTGGAACAGTTTCTTTTCTATAGCAAATCAATAGCATTATGCATTTTTCCCATTTTCTCCCTACTTCTACCACAAGAGATGTTTTCCTCTTTAAGAACAGCTGTAATTAACATTACAGGTAAGAAGTCCTGGAGGATACAAGTGTGACATTAGCCCATATACAGGTTAATTTTACACAGAAATAGGTAGTTTAGAAAGAAACAGAAATGAACTTTCATTCCATTTTAACTGTAATTAATATGCATGTATTTATTCTTAATTTATTGGTGGAAGATGGTATTTAATGGCTCCAGAAGAGAATGGATAACACATATAGCCTTTCTGGGAAAAGATACTTCTAACCTTTCCTTCCTTCCTGTTTCAGCCCAGTATCTGACAGCAGCCCATTCACCTGCTATGGTGTTCATGGTGATACAAGTTATTAAAAGAAGTTAAGGTAGTTTTCAAAAGATACAAGTTGCAACTATGGAAGCATACAAAGGATTCAAAAACTGTATCAGGACATAATTAAATTTTGCCTGTCCAAATTTGTTTTTCTTCCCTGTTTTAGCAAAAGAATGTAGATTTTTACAGAAGAGTCACAAAGTTACATAAAATCTGGGTTTTTAGAGAGGCATTTTTAAAGTTATGTCTTCCTGGTGCACTTGGGCAGGCTTCATGAAGTGCACGATTAGAGGATATCAAGCCTTCTCTTTCCATATTTAGGTTGACCACTTAACTACATATCAGTTTCCCTCACAATTTCTCCTATGCATTGATTCAAGGAAATGGCTAGTTCCTGAAAAGTAATTTATCTATCTTTTCCATTTCCTTACAGTTTGGCTTTTTATTAGAAAGGACATCTAGTCTCCCTGTCTGACCAATACCAAATATTGTTTCCCTAAGATGTGTGGAGAGATGGGGCTGAGGGTGAAGGGAAAAACTGATGTGGGGGAATAGGCTGATATACCTACCAGAGGAAATGCTGGGGGGTAAAGATCCACCCCCTGACACTGGATGTGAGGCCAGGATGCTATTTAAAAATCCCGCCCTCAGGAATCTCGAAAGAGACTTCACCCCAATGGTCGGAAAGGATCCTTTCAAAAAGATAAAAATGATCATTAATCAAATGACTTGTTCTGTGACTGATAAAAGAAGTTGACTGTTTAAAGAAATAAAAACCAAACTTCAAAAAAGTTAACAGTGTTTTCACTGGAACAGATCTTATTAAAAGCAGTTAAAAGTTTTTCTTTGTTTTTTTTTTTCTTTTTCTTTTCTTTTTTTTTTTTTAACCAAGTCAAACAATACATACAGCTTCAATCAGAAATAGCTTGTTTTCTGTAGACTTTGCAAATGGAGAATTCCTGCACTTCTAAGAGGAACGGAAAAACTTCAGATTTAAAAGACAAAATACACCTATCAGATATTCATAATGCATTCCAGATGATTCTACTACAGAGGCATTTTACAGTTTTGTATACAAAAGAAAAAGAGACTGGTAAAGGAGAAGCTGTAGCAGCAAAGTTGTGTTTTTTACTAGTATCTGAAAGACACCTGACAAATTCGTATCAGGCAAGGGAAGCAGGGGAACCAGAATTGGCAGCTACATTACTGACTTCTGTGTCAGGGTAGCTACACCCATCAGAGCTTCTACTGCATCTTCCAACACCTGTTCAATATATTGATGCAGGCAAAAGGAGCATAGACATGGCTCCTTTCTGCTTTGCTCTTACCAGAAGCTTTACACATTTTATGCTTTCAGTAGAATAAACTCTCTGTTGTCCTCATTGCCCAAATGTACAGTTTTATTTCTGGAAACAGAGATTATCTCATCCACCCCTTTTAGAGTAACTACTCATATCTATTATAATGATTATAAATAAGGACTCTTTAAAATTTGATCCACTGTTTCAGCCTTCAGCATATGTACAGGGATCTTCAGACATAATTTTGTCTGGCTCATGTCAGTGCTTAGTGAATGCCAGCATCAAAGACTGATCTGAAATAAGAAGTGCTCTTATCATACATCTTGCTTAAAAGCACAGTCAAGATTCTCCCACTTTGCAATAAATTTAAATTGACAATCAGAACAATTTGTGTATTTTTGCAAGTACATCAAGCAAGCATTCATGCAAAAAAATTAGGCAATGGCAAGTTTGTTTTCATCACCTTGCAGGTATTTCATAGTTGTTCTATTAAGAGACAGAAAACATCTTAATGCGTATACACAATGAGAAAAATAAATGGCCCTCTTAAAATTAATGAAACTGTTGGGATTTTCTTTTAACTAATAAAAATGTAATAAGGAAAATGTAGCCTCAAAACACACATATGCATTTGCTGAACTTAAAGTAGCCTAAAAGGGCTTTGAAATTTTCTCTTGTATTTTCAAGCAAAAGTTCTACTGTTACTCCTTAACACACTTGGCCTTTAAATTTGTTATTAGACCTGCTGCAGTTGGTGGAAAAAGAATTCATTTAATTAGTGTTCTGGATTCAGTATTTTTATATCTGATGGCTAAAGATAAGGCATAAACGTTTTCCCTCTGGCCACTCCAGATAAACCCTTGACATTCTGTAAAAGTGTTTCTAAATTCCATGGCTTTGATTTTAAAATATTTTCAGAAGTGATCATGAATAGAGAGTCCAGAATACAATACACAGAAATCCAATTTTAAAATGGAAAATTATTCCATTAACTCCAAGATGTTTGGCACTAAACATCATCTTAAAATTTAAATGCTAAATAATGAACAGATGAAGACTTCACAAGTAAAACTTTGCTTCTCTGTTTCAAAATATGAATTATACCAACCATAAAGTACACCTGCTGCAAGTCACATGCCATATGTACAGACCTTCAGAAAAGCCAAACAGCTTGAGCTTCACCATTGACATTTTCCTACATTTAAATGGTGTTAAATGGCAAATAACTCAAGTTTCCTAGCAGTCTTACAATAAGTTCCTTTGTCATAGAAAGTAAGAAGACAAAACCAAAGTTATTTCACTTATTGTACATAATCAGAAATAAAACCAAGGAGCAGCCAAATTTGGAGCAATACAATCTGTGAATACTGAGAGAGCTAAAGGGCTAAAATTATTGAGGCTTTATAAGCAGCAAATAATTAAAAGAATACACATAAATAATGCTGTTTCTCACCCTTAAAAGGTAAGATTCAGTTGCTTAAGTGTAAATGCTTTGTGTCATTTGAGATGCTCTAGTGAAGGAGAGTTAAAAGACGCTGCGCTAGAGCCTGAGCCCCCCTGCTCAGGGGATAAGCTGCAGCTGGTGGACTTTCGACCCTGGAGATGACAGTATGCTGAGCCAAGAAGTAAATTGAATAGAAGAATGCTAAAGGAAACTCCCTGATAGCAAGCTGCTCAGCGAAGCCTGCTTTCTCTTGTGAAACTGCACAGCTGAGGAGGCTGTGTACCTTCGAACTAGTACCAGGACGGAACCATCTTGGCAGGGTGTTCAGATCTTGATGTTTTATTAACTTTGGTAATTGTGTAGCATTGTAGCATCGAAACCAAGAGTAGTTAATAGAAACCGAGAATAATTAATTTTAATCGAATCATGAAGCACCAATAGGTATAAGCGCACGTATACATTAGGTAATGAAAAACCAATCATGATAACCCACATATGTGTTAGAAAGATATATAATCTGTAGCTTTGTAACAATAAATCGACACTTTGCTTGCACCCCATCGTGTCCCGTCCTTCATTCGCGGCACTCTAGAAATCTGAGACATTCCCATTTGAGTGGCAGACATGACAAGATCTGCAGATTTGCACTCTTTGAAAGTGGCAGCAAGAGGCAAAACAGCAGTTGGGTATCTAAGAGCAGGCATCTAGTGTTGTTTTAGGCAATTGAATCCCACCCAAAGAGTTTACTGACCCCTCAAAAATGTCTCTGATTAAGAATAACCCAAGAACAAGACCCCTTCTAGAAGTCCATGAACAGCATCTGAAAAGGACAAGTTCTATAATATTCAGCCCTTATCAGTATCCATCAACATAAAAATGCAGACAAAGGAGAGGCTGAAAGTTCATTCATCTTAAAACATGCATGGTCCTAAATTAAAATACAAGATATGCGCCAGAATTAACAAACAGGTGCTTTTGGTATTATCACCCGCACAACATGACTAGGGTTTGAGACTCTGTGACATCACTATATATGCGGAAGTTAATTATCGTTGCAGGTGGTTGGGAAAGAAAATGAATTCTCATAAGTCACACCAATCAACACCAGAAGAACAGAGGTTTGATAAGAGCTTTGTTTTTTTATATTAATTTAGAAGCTTTACTCAAATTTTTACTGGTTTGCAAAAACATTCACGAAATATTTGAAAGAAAAACTGCAACAAAAAATTGTGTTCAAGACAGGAAGAGAGAAAGCTCTCTGGTAACACAACAAAGAAGAAGGGAGGTGGGAGCATGATATTAAAGCGAAAACACCACCTTCTCAGAAATATTATGAACTTTTGTGTGGAAATTAATGAAGAAGATTTGCAATTCCTTCTATATGAACGTTTTCTTTTTATTGGACAATGAAGATATAGTCATTCCTCTTTTGTCAAATTGAAATCATGCCTAGCTAAAGAAAAAGTCCACAAAAAATGTGCCTTCTGCATTATATCCTGCTGCTTTATGCTCCAAACTGCAAAAGCAATATTCATTTTTTAGAGGTGTATGCTGGCAAATTAATGCTTCATTTAAACAATCTCTTCAAGGCAACCACACTGGACACTTTCAAGATGCTAGGATATTATTTCTTTAGCTAGCCAACTTTTGTCAGAAATGCCATTCTGTCAGTGCACATCATACAGAGACTAGTGCTTTGCACCCATTCTGTTGTTCTGTGTAAAAATTAACACTCAATATTTTTGCAGTGGGTGTAGTTACACTAATGGGAAGAGCTTTTAAGTATAAGGTCTTCCTGGTTCTAAACTGGGAAAAGAACACATGGATATTAAGCCATGGTTCTTCAGTGTCCTGAAATACAGCTGTTATTTAGCAGCTCACAGACATGTATTTATTGAGGAAAAAAACCTAACCTGTTTCTCCTGCATAGTTATGCACTATGAACTTTATGTCACCTTAACATGGGAAACTACATTAGCTACAGATATTAGTTGGAAAAGTTCATTGAAACAATAAAAATACATGACAATACTGACAGTTCATGAAGCATACACCAAGTACTGAGTTCTGTGATGCCAGTTTATAAATCAGCGTAAAGTCTTCTGTTTCACAATTATTCCAGCTAAGTGCTTGTGCTCAGAGGCAGTGGGGGAGTGCTGATCCAATTAGCCTGCCTTCCTCCTTCATCTGTTGTTCCAGGGGGAATATCATCCCACAAATGGCAGAATTTGATAGGGAAGTCACTGGTATAGCATCCTAAACTGGCAGGTTTTAGTAGCATATTATTGCACAGAGCAGAAGGGCAAGAGTAGATAGCTGGGTAAAGGAAATACAAATGCTTAGTTCAACTCCAGCGCACATAAATTAATTCATACATATGTATTAGCACTTGCATCACGACAGCATGGCCAGCCAGAAGGAACAGCGGTTTCTCCCCACACCAAAGACAAATCCCATGGACCAGGACTAGCAGCAATGTAACTGTGCTGAAGAGTCCTAGATCTACAAAGGAGAGAAAGGTCTGCCATGTGGCTCACTAAGAGTACTGGGCAGATGGATGGATGGGTGGGCTTGTGCAGCTTGTGGAGATGTATTTTTAAAAATAACATTTAAAGAACATAGAGTCTCTGCATTGTGTCTAATGACCTTGCTGAAGTAGGTTATTAGAAATACTATTGAAGACACAGACTGTTCTTCAGTCCTGTTATTTGTTGATGTTGATGTTTCTTATTTATTACACTTTAAACTGATCCAATACTTTCCGCAGGTGAAATTGACCGTTCTAGATGCTATGCATTTTGGGGCATTTAACAGCTTCAGCTTCAGAAGGAGCTTTTTGATAAATTAGTAAACTAGAAGGAGAAATTCTAGTGAGGTCACAATTACTGTCAGTTATTTCTTTTTATTTTCTATTAGTACCATCAAGAGAATTTAGTTAGTTATTCTT